CCTCCAGGGGCTCCTCCAGAGGGACCTCCAGAGGTTCCTCCAGGGGCTCCTCCAGAGGTTCCTCAAGAGGTTCCTCCAGGGGCTCCTCCAGAGGGACCTCCAGAGGTTCCTCCAGGGGCTCCTCCAGAGGGACCTCCAGAGGTTCCTCCAGGGGCTCCTCCGGAGGAACCTTCAGGTGCTCCTCCGGAGGAACCTTCAGGGGCTCCTCTAGAGGCTGCTCAGAGCTGAGTGGGGGATCTCTGGTTCACACAAACGCTCTCTGACTCATGGTGGCACAACTCTGCCGGGAGGTGGGGGAGAGGTGGGGGAGGCAGGAGGACACAGCAGGTGGCTGTGTGTCTCCCCGTCTCACCCCATTTCACCCATTTTCTTTCCGTCTCTTCCATCTCCCCCCGTCACCCCCCGTCTCACCCAATCTCCTCCTGTCTCACCCCATCTCCTCCCATCTACTCCATCTCCTCCCGTCTCACCCCGTCTGCTCAGTCTCACTTGGTCTCCCCAATCTCCTCCCGTCTCCCCCGTCTCCCCCTCTGTTCTTATGCGGGCTAGAGGAAGCGACCCCCGGCTAAAGCAGCCAGACTAACCTGGACGGCTGCTGGGGGAGAATTGGGGTGTTTTCTTTGCTTTGCCTGAATTCCAAACCTCTCAGACCTTGTCCTGCTGAGTGGTGAGGTCAGAGGGGTTTCCCCCACAGGTGTGTCCAGGAACAGCAGGAAACACCAGCAAACCTCCCCGTTTTCACACACCTGTGATAACGATCTGCACGTGGCCCTTTGTGCACACACGGGCGTGCACGTCAGCGTGCACACACAGTCTATTCATAGAAGCTATTCATAGAAGCACAGCTGTTCACTTTCATTTTCAGGAATCTCCGATTGAAATCTATCCAGATGGCCCCCTGATTGTTTTAGTTTTATAGAGAGGCAGTGATTCGGATCATAAATCAGATCGTATGTGAGGATGTTAAACGGGGTCAGCAGATCTCACCGAGGCCACAAGGAGGAGTCAAGGCTCCTGGAGTCAGAATGAGCCTACTCCAAAGTTTGGCCAAATCCAGTTAGAAACGAAGCCTAAAGATGCTGGAAAACCAGAGAAGCACACGATAGGAGGAGCAGTCCAACTAAATAAGCCTCCATTCAGCACCCAAAAACAGCTCCGACTGATATTAGTCAAGAACCAAAAGCGTCTCCAGTACAGCCAAGAGTCAGTTCAGATGATCTAACTAAGGCCGTGAGTGAACACAACTTTTACTAAAAAGGACAAAGGACAATTAAATATGGCTGCAGCTGCTTTTCAGAAGTAAATCGCTATGTAATGCACATTTGGAGAATTGGAGGTTGTTTTAGTAGAGAAGCAGCATCAGGGAGCTCATCCAGTTCCAGCTGGTTCTCACCTGTATAAAATCTGAAATCTCCACTGGGCTTTTTAAAACAAAGCCTCCAGAGTTTGTTCCTGTTTTGTGTGCTGGGTTCTTGTTCAGTGACATAGTTCTCTAAAACACTCTCCCCTGCTGTTACTCATTCACCTGGCTAACTCTGTACCGGTTGAGGAAATGAGGAAAAGACAGAGAATTTCCATTCAGAAACAGAACCTCGCTCAGGAAGATCCAACGATTGTCAGCTTCTCAGCAAAGCCAACAAACCAGAACCAGCTTTGATCCAACTCGGATCAAACAAACATCTGTCACAGCAGCCAAAATCATCAATGAACCTCAATGAGATTAAACATATCCCAAAAAACGATAATTAGACCTTTTTAAATTTACCAATTTATCCCTCATTAATTCATCTATATATTTACTGAACATATTTTCTTCATATGTAATTTAACATGTGACAAAAGTTGCATGTGTGGTTAAAACTAAGATAAAAATCCTAACAAATGAATTTCCGCTTACATGCATCTAAATACAGTTTCAAGTGTAAATGTACCCACTAAAATTGTACAGCAAGTACTATTAAGTATTACTCTGAAACATCTTTGTAGACAACTTGCTCTTCTGAAAAACTAAAGACATTGATATTTAAGAGAATTTACATTTAATGTTAATGGCTAATTTAGCCTCAGCTGCAGCCTCAATGGTCTGATACTTACCCATAAATATTTAAACGTTACTTATCCAAAAGTATTAATTGTCAGAACGCTAAAAAGCTTTACCTGTCCCCTGGACTAAAATGTATAAATGGTAAGATGGCTTTTTTGTTACTTCATATTAGGAGTAACTTTGGGCTTACAGTTAATATGCATGCATATCTAATTTAAAGGATTACTATTATAAAGTACAGGTGTGTCTTACTCAAAATAAAGGATTTACTGCCATGTTATCATCAAATGTTATAAAAAAAATGGCTGAATTGAACTGGGTAAAGGTCAATTTGGTGAATTAATGTGTTTCACTTATTTTTCTCTTGCAATAAGGTGATTAGATGCCACTTCATCTGGGAATCTGTACAAGTTCCCTCAACAAATAAGGCCCAAAGTAATATGCATATGGTTCGAAATAGCTAAACTATCGCATCCCTCATGAGAAATCCCAAGTCAACTTCTGGAGTATAGAAAGCACCGGAATATAGTCTGCATCCACTCATTTTAGAAAGCTAATCGATTCTGCACATAGACAGGGAGCCCGGTTTCTAAGCCTTCATCATTTTCCTCCCTCAGTGTCCAAACAGAACCACATCAGAACAACTTCTGGTGTGTTTGTTGCTCATCGAGTTTCAGTTCAGCCTCTCCCAGCAGTTTTTGCTCTTTTTAGGAGACCAAAGGCATTAGAGGCGTGAAGCTGCTTGAAAAAAGCTCACAATCAGCACGGGTTTAGTTTAGTCGGTTTCTCATTTGTTTGAAACTACTAGTGTGCATCAGGTCTCCATGGCAACAGGCAAGCAGACAGATGTCAAAATTCTTGCATCTGGTTTCGATCCAGGCCGACGTTTTCACACTTTCTTCATTTCGATGAAGAAAACAACAAACCCGGCAAGAGAATTAGAACAACTACATCTGACACTTCAAAAAAAAAAAAGTCAGCAAAGGCTCTTCCCTCCACATCAGCTCAGCAAATGCGCAAATGTGCATTTTTTACAAGAACAGCTTGATGTGTGAATGGAAACGGTGAAGGAGGACAAAGGTTAGACACACACCTGATGATCACACAGCTCCAGGAGCCCTGATCTGACCTCTGACCTCCATCAAACTGCAGTAGAATAAAACACTACTTTGCAAAGCAAGTGGCCGACGCACAACACACAACACACGACGCACAACACGACACTTTGACAAACCCCAGCTCTACGGGTGTAGAGCAGAGCCTGAAAAAGCCTGAGGTGGGTGAGGGAGCCTCGCCGGCCCTGTGGCGGCCTGACCCGGTTACGGCTCTGACTTCCAGGAACAGCCCCACGTCTTTTGACGCACTGCTTCTTCTTCTATGGTGCCAGGCTGCTGACACGCTCCCCCCCCGCTTTGATCTGGGTCGGCCGAGGTGGAAAACAAAAGCTGCAGCGTCACCGGTTCCCCGGCCGCGCAATCAGGGCCGCAACCTACTTTAATCTGACCGCACATCTGAACACAGAAACCAGGTTTTCCCCAAACGAAGAGTGGGGGAATGGCGACTCAGCAGAAAGAGCAAAGAGCTGGAAAAGAGAAAGAAGTGCTAAGATGAGGGACGGATTCAAGGAGAAAAGGGAAAAGGGAAAGGATGGAGGAGGAAGTAGGAGAGAGTGTTGCGTCATCAGGGATAATTTGCTGCTGTGAGTCAGTAAAATTGGGAAATTTCTGAAACAAGAGAAGAAGGAAGAGATTTTTTTTGGGGGGGGGGGTGTCAACAGACGGGTGTATAAATGAGGCAGAGACGGTGGAGTCTGCTGCACTTGGACTCGCCTCATCGCCATGTCTTCACTCACTCTGCTGCTCGGCGTCCTGGCAGGCATCGTTGCCACGGCAACGTCGG